GAAGGAGTTATCGGACTTCCCTCGTTATATGTAGCATCCTAGTGCGTGCCGGTGTGTAGCGTCAGTCAATGGGAAGGTGTTGCTGCTCGCTCCAACTCCTCGACCCTATGATGTGCCTGCATGAGCCCGCTTAGGCCCGAGTCCTCCGGTGAGGCTCGGGATCGGCTAACGGGTGTCCCAGATGCTGTCCGGGATGAAGTTCGGGTGACTGGCAGCGTGGGCTCGTCAGTCGGTGACTCGGTTGAAATGGACGGGGGTTGGTTTGGTGTGATCGGGCCCGTTTCTGTGTTGCCGTTGAGGGAGTAGCCGGCAGGGACTTTGGTGGTGACGATTGTGCGGCCGCTAATGGCGATGGAGGGTTCAGCGACTCGAAAGTGGACGGCGGTAGTGCGGTCGCATATTTCGGCCCGGCCGGCAGCTTTGCGGCGCCGATTTCGGTCGGGCCGACGACTTTTCTGCTGGTGATTCTGACTCAGCCGACTAAGGTGTTGACGGCGACTAAGGTGCTGCTGGTGATGTGGACTGAACCGGAGATGACGACGTGGGCTTCAAAGCAGACAGTAGCGGGGCAGGCAGCGATGGGTTCGCCGGGTTCGGGTCGGACGACGGTTGTCCGGGCGATTTGGGCACAGCCACGAGAGGGGTGTTGCCGATTTCGACGGGAGGGTTGACGGAGATTTGGTCAAGGGCACCGGCGAGGTTGACGGGGCCAACGATGGTTCTCCGATTGCGACGGTGCAGGCGGCAATTCAGCGGCGTCCGACGGTGACGCTGGCTGCAATTGAGGTGGTGTGCCGCCGCCTCGCGAAGGTGACCTCGATCTGAAAGCCATCTGCTTCATTCTCGCCATGATGCTCTCTCGATTTTTTTCTCAGATTATCCGTCGATTTGCTGTTCAATTATCCGCTCAATTCTCTCAGAATTTTGATCGCCGGTGACATTTGAGACGATTCTAGAAGTGGTGCAAGACACACCCTTTGTACACAAGTCAACGGCAATTGGGCTGTGAAGGTATTGTTGGGCCCAAAAATTAATTCTCCAATTTTTACTGGCCCATTATAAGGTTAATCACCTTAACTTGATTCCAGCAGCCTATTATTCAACATCCTTCACGAAATCGACTGGCCTGCTTAATTATAAACTCCCAGCAACATGGAATATGATACTTGGCCTATCATAGAAATCCCCTGCAGCAATAACACAAAGAAAACAGGAAGAAACAGTATCAGACTTCAACATGCACAGAAAGCAAACAGAAAAAAAAAAATCTTCTTTCTCGTGTATTATTCATTTTATTCAATAAATAGCAAATAAAAACTACTAAAGCTAATAATAATAATAATAATAATAATAATAATAATAATAATAATAATAATAATAATAATAATAATAGTAATAATATTGGGTTGCCTCCCAACTAGCGCCTTTTTTTAACGTCGTTGGCTCGACAATGTACTCCCCTTTAAACTGACTGAGGAACATCCAGTCGGACTCGTTCCATATCGTCGATTCCAAATTCTCCATTATACGACTTAAGCTTATCGCCGTTCACCTTTAAATAAAGATAATTCACAATTCCAAGTTCAAAACAACACAGTCATAATATCTCAACATAAATGAGCGGAAGCAAATAAATAAGCGATAAATAAAAGCATGACCACCACCCGTCTTGTCGCGTCACCCGCCGACTGCTTAACCTGCATCAGTTACGAGCAGGTGGGAGTGAGTACAGTTAACTATCGTACTCACACTATGCATATGAATAACATAATAATGGTATGGTCGCAGCATGAACATAAACAATAAAATCATGTCACATCTCTACCCACATCAATGACTATAGTCTCATCAAAGACTCACTCATGTACATCTATGCTCATCAAAGCTAAGCCATGCCATATCAGTGAAACATGAGAGTCCGTGCCACATCAATGACACGGCCTTCTCATAGGTCTTAATGAGATTTACCTCACTGGGTAACTGTATCTTATCATACGGGGACAACCGTACCGATGGCCATCAAGCTCACATCGATAGGCTACATGTTCATTTTCATACATAGATCACACCAAACTTTCATCACAATTTAAAATCACACATATGCATAGATAATTTTAGAATATCCCACTTGGATTCCGGATTGATAATAACCCAAAGCAATGGGTGGATTCAGCCGTCGTTGCGCCTCCCGAGAGGGTTTAGCATCTTCCTCGAGGAGAAAACAATGCATATAGATGGACGGACTCATTCCTCTCAAATCGGCAATGGCCCAACCGATTGCTCGTTTGAAATTCTTCAACACTTCAATGGGGGTTGCCATCTGGTTAGGCTCCAAACTCGATGACACTATAACCGGGGGTGGTCGATCCTCTCCCCAATAGGCATATTTCAAGTGGCTCGGCAAGGATTTCAGCTCATGTTCCAGTGCCTGCAAAGTAGAAGGAACAATTTTCTTATCAGGTTCAGGTGGCCGAATAAAATTTTTATCATGATTTTCAAGATATGGTTTCAGTGTATTCAAGGCTGTTACGGCCTCCTCGAGCAGCCCCAAGTGATTTAAAAATTCGGGTTTATCACTATCCCTCTGCAACCCGAGTACTGGGGCACCCCGTACTCCTGGGAAGATACCCCGTACTGCTTGATTTTTATCGAAACATTGTGAAATCACAAGCTCCAGCTCACCGTCCTTATAAGTGTCGTGAAAATTCTGTGTCAACGGTTCAATACAATCAAGTACATAAACAAAATGGTCAGAATCAGGAAGTTTCATGTCATCAAAAATATTAAATCGAATAACATTGTCATCGAACTCCATTGTGAGAGTGCCTTCACGAACGTCGATTTTTGTTTGAGCGGTGTTTAAGAACGGTCGCCCTAACAAAATTGGGGCCGACATAGGAGTCCTGTCATTCATACTCAACACATAAAAGTCAGCGGAAAAAATGAGCTCATTAACCTTAACAAGAACATCCTCAATTACCCCATCCGGGCAAGTAGTACTTCGGTCGGCAAGTTGAATTACCACCCGAGTTTCTTTAAGAGGACCCAAATTTAAGGAATCAAAAATAGAGCGAGGCATAACATTAATTGATGCTCCCAAATCGAGCATGGCTCGCTCGATTTTTAAATTACCTATGGTGCATGGAATCGAAAACATACCTGGGTCGCTTCTCTTTTGGGGCAAATCCTTCTTAAATATTGCCGAGACGTTCTCTCCCATCAGATCCTTCTCATTCCCTTGCAGCCTTCACTTGTTTGTGCATAGGTCCTTCAAAAATTTGGCGTACCGAGGGACTTGCTTAATTGCATCAATGAGAGGAATGTTGATCTCGACTTTCTTGAACACATCAAGAACCTGCTTCTCAGCGTCTTCATTTACTGCCTTTCGTACCCTGGATGGAAACGGTAGAGGTTCGGGTTTCAGTGAAGGGCAAACCGGGTTGCCTTTGCGTCTTTCAATATCTGCAGGCTGAGTACTGGGTGTCCCCGTATTCTGCTGCTCGGCCCCATATTCTGCTGACAGACCCTCTTTTTCACTTTCATTTTTCTCATTTTGAGTCTTCGGGGCTACTAGTTCTTTCCCACTCCGCAAGGTGATGGCACTGACATTTTTAGGATTGATCTCAGGTTGAGATGGAAGTCGGTCCCCGAGTTGTGCATCTATTCGAGTCATATGCTCCGCCAATTGACTCATTTGTCCCTCTAAGTTCTTTGTCCTCAATTCCTGATTCTTGATGCTCTCTTGAACACCCTGCTGAAAGTTCATGGAGCTAGTTGCAAGTGTCCTGATCATCTCTTCTAGGGAAGATTGTGGCATGGAGCTCGGTGGACCGTTACCCGCTTGTCGTGGAAAGTTTTGGCCTCTTTGAAAAATTTGGGGTGGCCGATTGTCTTTCTCCGCATACACTCCCCCTGACGGATTCCCATATCGAAGGTTGGGGTGATCTCTCCAACCGGGATTGTAGGTGTTGGAGAAAGGGTCATAGTTTCGACCCGGCCCGTTGTTGGACCCTATCGCGTTCGCTTGTGCCTCCACCTCACCATTGATTAACGGGCAATTGTCCGTAATGTGATCAGTCGTCTCGCAACGCATGCAGGGTTGCACCCTGGGAAAACCTTCCGTGGCTAATTTCCGGACAAAAGTCGTCAACTCTTTAACTTGGGATTCCAAGGCACCGATACCAGCCTCATTAACCGACTGAAAAGATGCTTCTCGAGTGCCAAATTGCTGGGAGTTCGCTGCCATATTTGCTATCAGATCCCTTGCGGCCGTTGGTGTCTTGTCCATAAGAGTGCCTCCACTTGCCGCATCGAGCATGTTCCTATCCATGAGGGACAAACCCTCGTAGAAGTACTGAATTAGCAGCTCCTCCGTCATCTGGTGTTGGGGACAACAAGCAATGAGTCTCTTGAATCTCTCCCAATACTCGTATAGCGTCTCTCCATGCAATTGCTTGGCACCACATATCTCCTTACGCAAATTCGCAACCCTCGATGCCGGAAAGTACCGTTGGAGAAAAGCTTTCTCCATGTCAGCCCACGTGGTGATGGACCCCGATGGTAAGTAGTATAGCCAATCTTTGGCTCGGTCCTTCAATGAAAATGGAAACGCTCGAAGCTTGATCTGCTCCTCGGTCACCCCGGCGGGTTTCATCCCAGAACAGACGGTATGGAACTCCTTCAGGTGCATGTGTGGGTCCTCGCCTGAGAGGCCGTTGAATGACGGCAATAAGTGTATCAGGCCAGACTTAAGCTCGAAGATGGCGTCATTCACCGTCGGAAATGTTATGCACAAGGGTTGTTGAAGAAGTCGGGGATTGGCTAGTTGCCTCAACGTTCGTTCTTGGTCTCCCGCCATTGCTTCTTCCTCACTCGAAGAATCAGAATATTCTGTGTTATCGGGCTCGCTGGAAGAACTATGGTAATCAGTAATCACCGGATAGTCTCGCTCTCGGTTTTCTTGCGATTCCTTTGCCAACCTTGCTAGCCTCCGATTCTCCTTATCCTTCCTTGTGATTTCTGGGTTGTATGTCAATGGTTTCTGTCCAGAAGACCTCGTGTTCATTCACCTGAAAAACAACTGAAATTATAAGTACCGAATGCAGCAAGATATGTCGAAAGAACCAAGTTTCACACCTATTCTGCACAGCGAGTATGGGGTCTAATTTTTTCTGTTGGACAGAATACGGGGAGACCCTGTACTACTGGGAACAGAAACTAAGAAGAAATAAAAAGGGAACAGGGGGGAATTTGAACTGAGACTAAGAAAATAAAATAAAATATTTATGAAAACTAATCCTAATTTCAATTAATGGAAAAACAATTAACAACTAAATTCGGTTACTCCCCGGCAACGGCGCCAAAATTTGACCGCGCGTCGCAACACGGTCAAAATATAATACTTATTTTCCTTAATCAACTTCTACCAACTAGCAGTAGTAGTGAGCAAGGGTCGAACCCACAGGGAGTGTGGAATTTAATTGTAATTATTTTCTTTAATTGAAATCATAATAATACTAATAAAAGGGGGAATTATGGCGGAAATTAATTAACTAATAGAAATATGAATAACGGAATGAACTCGAATGCAACAAATAAAGATGATAATCAAAAAAATAGGAAAGCTTCTAGTGCACGGTTCCGTCTACACCCTCGACTGACTCGTCTAATTAATTTTAGTATCAGATTTCGCTATCTCTTGGAATTACTAGCCCTAGGTAACGACACGGTCTGTTACCCGAATTTTTCCTTATTTTTAATTTAACCGCGAGACGCTCGACGATTAAACCTGACTTCTTGTACAGTCCTTTTCAAGATTTAATACAATTAGCCGCTTTAAGAATTAGAAAAATAGGCTAGACTAATTAGTGAACTCAACCGCGTTCGTTCACTTAATTAGGCCGTGTTATATCCCCGGTAGTTACCATCTTCCGGTTACTCTTATGAATTAAACACAACAACAATTACGGATTGCAAGTCTAATTCAGATGTAGATATGAAAAGCCTAATCTAGGTGATCAATCTAAATAAGACTAACACATCATGGTGAATTATTCAAAATAACACAAACAATTCCAAAAAGATATTAAAATCATCAACCAAATAATCAGTCAAGACATAGTCAATCGTAGGGTTCGACTTCCCCGGAACTAGAATAAAAAGACTACTCACTCATAGTGTTCAATAACATAATCATGAATTTAATTACACAAGAAAGAAAAGAGAAAAGAGAAATAATGTTCTTCTCTAATTTCCAATGCCGTCTGTTGCCTTTTCTCTGTTCCAGTCCCGCAGCCGCAATGTCCAGGTCAAAGAATGAATAATTCCTCTTTCACGCAACTCTCCTCCTTTATATATATATCCTTTCCTTTCTTTTAATTATTTTATGTCTCTCTCCTTCTATTTCCAAGTAAAGTCAAGTAATATAATGAGTGGGCCTTTTTCTTCATCCTTTCACCATCACACGTGGCCCACCTCTTCCAACACAAAATATGTAGGCCCAATTATATTAATTTCTCTAGGCCTTTTAATCGTGAATTGTTTGGGCCTGCTACAGGAGTACGGGGCCTGCTGGTTCAGTACGGGACATCCCCGTACTCACTGGAAACTCTTCTTCGACCTTCTTCCGAGCATCCACACCTCATTGTGCAACAGAAACAGCTCCAAAAATACTGAAAATCACTCAAAAACTCATCAAAGCACGAGAGTTGATCATAATATCAAATAAGTCGAAAGATGCATAAATGTGGAGAATTAAACGTGCACAATTGTAATATTAGATGATTAAATGCAAGCACTTATCTCGACTAATCACTTCTGTGTGTGTTGAATCGAGGGATTTTGATAAGACATTGGATTTGATTTATTTTTGAATAAATAGGCTTTACAACTGTATATTCTTGGAACAAGTGGTTGCCCGAAAAATTTTATTATCACTCTTCAAGTGGACCCAAGCTGTGAATTGAATTTATATCCAAACACTGTTTGTACAGTAAATGGCCGATTTTTCCCGATAAAAACTTGTATCCAATCAACGCCTAAATATTTCTTATCTTCAAGTTTATCTGGGAACTTATGTATATGTTCCAAAATATGATTTTGAGGTTTGTGAAAACCTTCTACAATTGTTAATCCTAAAAATTCAATCTTAGTTTTAAACAATTGAGTTTTCTTATCGGACATGATTATTCCTAATATGTCACATTCTTTCAAAACTACTGCAACATGCATATAGTGCTCTTGTTCTGTGCTACTGAAGATGAGAATATGATCAACATATAGACAACAAAAATTTTCAAACTTTCTGAATGCATTATTCATATACCTTTGAAAAATTGATGGTGCTTGTTTTAAACCAAAAGGTACTACCACAAACTGGTAATGTCCTAGTGGGCATGTAAAAGCTGTTAGTAATTGGGATTCCTTGTCTAAAAGGACTTGCCAAAAACCTGATTTACAATCGAAAGATGTAAATATTGTTTTTCATTTTAATAAAGATAAGAGTTCATCTTTATTTTGTAAGTTATGTCCATCGCCAATTGTTTTCTTATTAACCTCTCGATAATCAATAACAATTCTTCATTTTGAAGTTCTTTTTTTATCTACCAAAATGCTGGTGATCTATGAGAAGACTTACTAGGAATGATGACTTTCATGTCAAGCATTTCTTGAACTTCTTGATTAAGTTCTTCTCTATCTTTGGGTGTATAGCTCATTGCTTTCACCACAATTTCAGTTTTAGGATCTATCAATTTGATAGAAGCCTTCATCCAATACTTGGTCTTATTAGGATCAAGTAGATTTGCTCACAAACTTTTTCCCATGATTTCTCTATTATAGAAAATTTTTGTTGATTATGGACAAAAATGTTCATTTCTTTTCTAAACTCTAATAACCTCTTCCCCCTCTCTTTAAGAAGTGATATTTTATCAGTAGTAATTTGAACTGGTTTAGGTTTTTTGAATTTAGATTTCTTTTTCATAGAATCTAAATATCTTGATTTCCAACCCTGTATGCCGTTCTTAATTTCCCTATATATATACAAGTTGATTATTTTTGGTGAAAATTATCCTATCAGTGTATTGAACAAAAAAAAGTAACTCCAACAAAAACTCTATTTCAAAGAAGTTTATATTAGGCACTTCTTGAAAAGTCACTTTTCAAAAAGTCCATCTTGAAATAGATTTCTCAATAAGGGGGGTGTATTTAATTAGAATTTTCAAGGACTTTTTAAGACTTTAGAAATCCTGGTGTATTCAATTTAGATTTGTTAAGACTTTTTAAAACTTTTAAAAATCCTGGGGTATTCAATTGGGATTTTCAAAAGTCTTACAAAATTCTGAGGTATTTAATTTTTTTGACACTAGGATTTATTAAGACTTTTTAAGATTTTGTGGGATTTCTAAACAAAAAACCTTATATGAAATCCTACTTCAAATCCTACCTCCGGACTTGAGATTTCATTGAATTCTTCCAAAATCTGAAAATCCTAGAAAGTCTCAAATCTTGAAAAGTTTTAAAATGTCACTTAAATTCCGAATTGAATACACCCCTTAAGTGTTTCCAAACAAACAATATTATGAATTCTAAAATCTATTTATGAAATCCTACAAACTTATTCTAGCTTTTTTATATAAAAAAAAAATTACCCCACTCTATAAGTGTGTTAGTGTTGTTTGTGTTGGTTTGTATTACCCCGTTGGGGTCGGCTCTAGGCGGTCATTGACTGTCCTCCCACTCTATTCAGTTGTTGGCAGGTTATATTCAGCTGGTGGCTGTGTTCATGTACATTGTGTTATTTATATAAAATTTCTATCGTTTTGGAAAAAAAAAAANTAGCTTTTTTATTAAAAAAATAGGGAGTACACGTGGCAAAATATCGCACAAAAATAAAAATGACTGGAGCGTTGAATTTAATAAATACTAAAAAAGGGCGATATCCAACACTACCTGTAAGCGCAGTGTTACGAGTTCATTATGCAAATCAAGCTCACACCCCCCTCACCGGAAATGTATACCGGAAGTGCTTTGCCCAAACCTCGCTTGCCAATGAGCATCTGAAAATATCTTGTGGAGAATGAAGCCTCGCATTCGGAACCTCTTTCCGCTGTCCAAACCGGTTCCCGCAGCCCAACCCCGCCGCCTCAAAGATGATGATGAAAATTTCCTGCCGCTGCTGAACGACGTCATACGCGGTAACCAGAGCTGGGCCGCCGCTCTCGACAATCCTTCCATTTCCAGTCGCCTACAACCGCTTAACATCGAGAGTTTCATACTCCAGAATATCAATGAACCCAGGTTAGCACTCCGCTTTTTTAATTTTCTCGGCCTTCACAAGAAATTCCGCCACTCCACGGCGTCGTTTTGCTTGCTGATACACTCATTAATCCAGTCGAAGCTTTACTGGCCTGCGTCCTCGCTTTTGGAGACCCTTTTGGAAAGAAAGGAGGAGGATCTTGATTCCATTTTCCAGAATTTGTTCCACTCCTATAAAAGACTTGGTCTTTATTCGACCTATGGGTTTGATTTACTTGTTCAAAGCTTTGTTCAAAACAGACGAGTTCTGGACTCGGTTGTGATTGCGAAGTCAATGAAGGAGCATGGTTTATTTCCGGAAGTGAGGACAATCAGTGCCGTGTTAAATGGGTTGATCAGAATTAGGAGATTTGAACTGGTGCTTGACTTGTTTGATGAAATGTTCGTGGGCGGCTGGCTGAAGCCAGACGTCTATGTTTATGCTGCTGTGATTAGGAGCTTGTGCGAATTGAAGGATTACGATCGGGCAAAGGAATTAGTTAACTGGGCCGAGAATAATGGGGCGTGCAAGTTGAATGTGGTTGCATATAATGTGTTGATTCATGGGCTATGTAAGGGCGGAAAAGCATGGGAGGCTTTTGACATTAAGGGAAAGTTAAGTTCAAAGGGTTTGAGAGCTGATGTTGTCACGTACTGTACGTTAGTCTTGGGATTTTGTAGAGTAAATGAGTTTGTATTTGCTCGAGGCTTGGTGGATGAGATGGTTGAATGTGGAATTCTTCCTAGTGAGGAGGCTTTATCGAGTGTTGTTGACGGGTTGAGGAGAAAAGAGGAAATCGCCAGTGCTTATGATTTGATTGATAAGGTGGGGAGACTTGGTGTAGTGCCTAATATATATGTTTGTAATGCTATGATTCACTGTTTGTGTAAAGATGGCAAGTTGGAGAAGGCAATGCTGCTGTTTGTGAAGATGACAGAAAAGAGGTTGGTAATAAATGATGTGAGCTATAATATCATCATTGGCTCATTATGCAAAAGGGGAAAAGTAGATGAAGCCTTGACCATTCTTGCTAAAATGTTTAGTTCTGGAATAGAACCGTCGGTTTACACATATAACATGTTGATCAGAGGGCAATGCAAGTTGGGAAAGCTGAGTGGGGCCACAAAGCTGGTTGCCGAAATGAATAGAAAAGGTCTGTGGCCGACTGTTGTGACATACACATTGTTGATTGATGGCTACTGTAAGCAAAGGGAAATTGATGAAGCATTCAGGCTATATCACGAGATGACGGGCAAAGGGATTTCCCCAAATGTGAATACATTCACGGCACTCATCTGTGGTCTTTGTCATGTGAATAGGATGGCCGATGCATGTAATATGTTTGACAGAATGGCGGAAATGAACGTTGTTCCTAATGAGGTAACCTATAATGTTCTAATTGAAGGATACTGCAAAGTAGGTAATGTAGAGAAAGCCTTTCATTTGTTTGACGAGATGGTGGAGAAGGGTCTTTCACCAGATACATTTACCTATAGGCCGTTAATAACCGGGCTTTGCTGCACGGGTAACGTGTCCGTAGCCAAAGATTTCATGGATCATCTGCAAGAGAGGCATTGTAAGTTGAACGAGTTGTGTTATTCTGCACTTCTACACGGATATTGCAATGAGGGAAGGCTGAAAGATGCATTGAGTGCTCGTGAAGAGATGAGAAAACGAGGTGTCGACATGGATCTCGTGTGCTATGCCATAATTATTCGAGGAATTCTAGAACAAAAGGATACAACATTGTTGGTGGATATTCTAAAGGAGATTCATGACAAGGGATTGAGGCCCGATAACGTTATCTACACTAATATGATCGACGAGTTTGGAAAGAGTGGGAATCTCAAAATGGCTATGGCTCATTGGGGTATTATGGCCACTGAAGGGATTGAGCCGAATGTCGTGACATATACTTCTATGATTAATAGTCTCTGTAAGTCAGGTTTTGTTGACAAGGCCTTGATCTTATACAAGGAAATGTTAATTAGTGGATTAGTTCCTAATGAGGTCACATACGGGTGCTTTATTGATCATCTCACGGGAGAAGGGAACATGGAAGACGCTATAACGCTTCATAAAGTGATGCTTGCAGGGTTTCTTGCTAACACAGTCTCGTACAATATGATACTTAGAGGCTTTTGCAAGCAGGGCCAAGTTGAGAAAGCTCGTCACATGTTGGCTGAGATGACGAGTAATGGGATATCTCCAGATTGTATAAGTTACTCAACTATTATTTACGAATATTGCAGAAGGGGTGATTTACAAGAAGCTTTCGAGTTGTGGGAATCCATGCTAGACAGGAATATTAAGCCTGATGGGATTGCTTATAATTTCTTGATATGTACGTGCTGTGTTGCTGGAGAGTTTAAGAAGGCTTTTGAGTTTCATGTTCATATGGTGAAACGAGGCCTAAAGCTAACTCAGGGAACATATGCTTATCTTATGAACCGAGCACGCATGTCAGGGTCACCTGGCAATCCACCAGAAAATGCAGTCACATGATTTAAAGGTATCCTTTTTCTGGTAGAAGAATGAAGAAAATTAAATATAGAGATTTGTTTCTGAAATTGATTGCTAAGTGATCCAGCTCAGGATCACATGCGCAAACAATATCATATATGCTGATAACTGGGAAAAATCTTATAGGACATAGTTTGATGAAGTCTTAAGCCATGTGTATGACAGATGATTTGTTGGAGAAAATTTTACCTTACAAACACAGGACTAGATGATACTAGTAGAAGTCACCCTGGGACTCTCATGGCTGGGAGCTTAGACATGATGGAACTATATTTTTGGGTTAGTTTCAAAAGTTCCGATTCAAGTTTAGTTTTATTACCAAAATCTCGTTTATTTTTAAAACTTCGAATAATCTCTGAAATTGTGTAGTTAGCCTACAAAGAGCCTCTTTTCGACTTCTAGAGGATGCACTTTTATAGACAAGAAGATAAATGTCGAAGGGATCATTTATAACTCAGGAAAAAGATAACTTAGGTTTCTTTGTCATTAGGCAAAACCTGATAAGGTGGTTTTAGTAATTGTTCCTTTTCTCTAGTATATGTAGTTAAAGCGGGCTTGCAATTTTTTTTTTTTTTTTTTTTCCAACGATANCCGAACAAAGTTCGATAGAGTACAACTACAGTGGGAGATACACTCAAAGAGTGATCTAGAGAAAAACCAAAACAAATACAAGAAAAAGCGGGGATACAACCACCAAAACTTTCCCTCGATAACCCTACTACAAGCCACTACACAAGCCACGAACAACACAAGAAAAAAACACACGACCGAAAACTAAAAACACTAGCAACTATTTCTTAACAGACACAAATTCCTGCCATTCTCTCCACGCCCCTCGAACCACAACCTCTTCCGGCATCCACACCTGCTCAAAGATCCATAAGTTTCGGGATCGCCATAACCACCATAAGATATACGTAGATAATTGCATGCGATCCTCGGCTATGTCAGATTTTTGGATTTCCAGCTCTCCCACTTCTGCCTTAAGAGCTCTGTTCATTGTTGATGAGATAACTGGCCTTATATGCTGTAAAGCCACATCTTCCTGTAGAGAGCCTTCTGAAGTGAAAAGGTCTTCATAGAACTTGAGAATGTGCTCTCCAATTTCCCTTTCTGAAGTAATCTCTCTATTCCCATCTACCAGCCTGGAAATAGCATTCTGTTTCCTCTTTTGCATAGTCATAGCATGAAAAAACTTTGTGTTTTGGTCACCCTCCTTCAACCAAAGAATCCTTGATTTCTGTAGCCAGAATTGTTCTTCTGAGCAATGGGCTTCATCAAGCTCTTTCTGCAATTTTTTCCATTCTTGCCAATTTCTCCCTCTTCCCAACTTTCTCATCTCAGTAAGTTTCATTGTGAGACTGTCAATGTCAGCTCTTTTGTTGAGATTCAGAGCTTTATTCCACTGTATAAGAGCTGCTCTAGTCTGTTTAACTTTCTCTTTCAAGATGAACATAGGAGTACCTTCAGAGCTTTCACTCCAAGCCTGTGAAACTGTTTCCTGTACTCCCTCCCTTTGGATCCATCTCTTGTCAAAATGGAATCTTCTATGCATGTTTTTTATTTTCTGCCCATCTTCTATCAACATCAAACTGTGATCTGATGCAGTTTTGATAACATTTTGCACTCTGGTTTGGGGGTACTTGCACATCCACTGGTATGATACAAATGTTTTATCCAACACTTCTTCCACATACCCCTCTTCTTCTCTATTATTCCCCCATGTAAACTTGTGCCCCTCCATCTGTACTAGACACATTCCCATCAAAGCAACGAAGTCATTAAACCCTTGAGAGTTTCTTGCAGATCTGATATTTCCCCCTTTTTTCTCTTCTGGGCTGCTGAGATCATTCCAGTCCCCTGAGATTATCCAATAGTCTCCCCATTTTCTTTTTTCATCCACCAAAAACTGCCACTGCAATGTCCTCTCTTGCTTAATAGTACTGATGTATACAAATATAGCCCACTCTGCCAACATAGATCCCTTAGCTTTGAATTGGACTTGAATGCAGAATTCATTGCTGTTGAGGGAAAGAATGTCTGTGTCTCTGTCCCAACACAGAAGTAATCCTCCTCTGGTGCCTTGAGGTTCTTGGTAGTGCCACCTTTCTACAAAACCTAGCCTTTTACAAACATTAGAAACATATTTTTTTTTCTTTTTTACTTCAGATAAAAACACAAAATTTGGATGGTGAGCCACTAAGGACTCTTGCAATTGGGGAACTGTAGAGGGCCCACCCAGCCCTCTACAATTCCACACCACCGCTCTCATTGGTCACTTTGGGGCCAATTGTGGCTGGCTTCCCCCACCAATGTCACCTTCAGTTTGGCCTTCTTTACATGTGCAGCTTCATCCTCTTCTTCAGGACTATCTCCCTTATTGGCTGCCATTGCTCTCTTCTTCTTCTTCATAGGAATTTCTGTTTCCATGGTGTTTGAATTTCTTATCAGTCTACCTTCATTATTTGAGGTTCTCTTCCATGTTCTCCTCCTCTGAGACTCTTCTGGTTTCTTGAAAATCACTAGCTGGGAATCTGGAATGGTGTTTTTGGCTGCCCCCCTTGACACTATAGTCTCTTCCACCTGCATCTGCTCATTGGACATCCTAGGCATGTTGATGTTAATCTCTCCTCCTTTCTCCATCATT